ACTTTTAAACACTTCTCTTAAAGTAGGCTCAAATCATTTCCATGAATGCCTCAAAGTAAGACAAAAATTCTTGCTTTCTCATTTACTTATAAGAGAACACATACAAACTCTCTAAATATTACTTTGTCTGGAGCTGGTACTGGGTCACCTACTTTAATTCTCTTCCTTTTTTAATCTCTAATTAGTCGTCTTTTCCCATTCCCTTCTTTGAATCCCCCAAACATTTTTTATAGCCTATTGCATTGATTATTTTGATATCTGGAAGTAGTGACCATGAAATTATAGAATATAAACAACAACTACAAAATACCACTTTTCAGTGTGTTTTCCAAAGAGCCTAAAACAGAAGTGAACAACACATTCAGCTGGACTTCCTTCAACTGTATCATCCACACAGACTCCATATAAACCTTCCACTAGGATCTCTTCTCCCAAATATTTCTAGCATTCCAATTTTCACCTGTTTTGTAAACAGCACACTCAGCTGAGTTTCTTTCAACTGTATCATCCACATATTTTTGATATATAACCCTTTGGCTCTACGTTAATTCCCCATATTTCCAAAATTACAAAATTGCCCATTATCTGCCTCCAAAGGCCCCAAATCTTGATCAGTGCAGTATCAGCCTCCCAAAGCACTAAGGGACAGGAACACTGATTTTTATCATATAAAGTTTAACATGGTAATTTTATGTTTACATGTCTGCCTACTACACAAAACCATGCACTCTTTATGGGCCAGAGGTATTTCTTATTATAACATTAAAACAACAATTGTTGTTGTTGTTGCTGTTGTTATGTGCAGTCGAGTCAGTTCCACAGTTAATGCTTAAAAGAATTTATTGTGTGCCAGTCTCTGTTCCAAGCACCGGTTCATGAATTATCTTCTCTCATCCTGTGGCACTGTAGGATAAACCCTTGACTACAAAGTTGGTTTGAACTGCAAGGTCAGTAGTTCAAACTCACCAGCCACTCCTCTGGAAACCTGGTACAGGGTCACTATGAACCAGAACTGACTCAATGGCACTTAACTAACTAAAAAACAAAAGCCTCGTCAGGACCTTACGAAGTAGCTATTATCATTAATATCCTTTTGCATTAAGGTGTCGAGAAACTAGACAACTGGTCCAGGTCATACAGCTTATAGGTAGTGGAAATGGAAGTCTGATTCCAGAATTCTTGTTCTCAGAAAATACTCAGTATTGTCTCCATAGATACCACATTCATGAATTGTTCATCAAAAAGGCATTGTCCAGACAAATTCAAACTGAAGGTCTCTACAAATACTTGAATAGTACTCCTCAAAACTGTCAATGTCAAGTGTGGGGCTTGATGGCGACTAGGGTGGAGGTGCAGTGAGGTTTACCATCAGCAGTACCACAGAATACCAGGCAAAGCAGATTCAGGGCAGAGATCCAAAACACGGAAGCACAGAGATAGGAAAATTTTAAAGGTTTGAAGGCTTATAGCGAGTGGAACTTGTAGCAAAAGTAAGAAATAGCATACTTTTGAATCTGCCAAGCTTGGCTACTAGAGCCGACAACTTGGGCGAGACGAGACCAAAGAGCAAGACCAAGCAGGAAAGCAGATACATCGCGGAAAAGCGCAGCGGAAACCTCAGAGCAAAGGTGAACAATACACTTTGTCAGTTTTTCTTTGGTCTGGTTTTCATTTTTTTGGTATTTGTTCATTGGCCCCCCACTATTTGCACATCTTCATTCTGGTGACTAGACGGGGTGCCTCAGTGAGTGGAAACTCCCCACCCACACCACTGGTGGGTTCTTCTGCCATTCATGCGCACAGATACTCTCAGCCCAAAAGCCAGCACTGAA